GGTTACTAGTGGGGAAAAAAGGTGGGGAGGGATAAATTGGGAGTTTGGGATTTGCAGATACTAACTACTACATATAAAACAAACAGCAAAGTCTTATACTGTACAGCATAGGGAACTATATTCAGTACTTCGTAATAGCCTATAATGAAAAAGAGTATGAAAAGGAATACATATATAAATGAATCACTATGCTGTATACCAGGAATTAACACAACATTGTCAATTGACTATAATTCAATTTTTTAAAAAGAATCTATGTAGCAAAGTCGTTTCCAGGTTCCCACAGATGCCCACGCAAACAGTTCACCTTTGGTCTTGTTAGAGCTGAGTTCTAGCGTGGGTGGTCCTGGTCTGTGGTGCTTTCTGTGCCCACCTGCGTAAGGAAGTCCCATTCTATAACAGGGTTTCTTAAAAGGTCACCCAAGGGATCTTTGCGACAGAATCTCTGGGGGAAATTATGTCAAATGAAGAATCCTGGATCCCCACTGTTGAGAACTACTGATATAGGCTTATATAGTGAAGAGATTAAAGGTACATCCATCACCAATTTACTAAATGGCTTAGATAATTTCTTAATCTCCCTGAGCCTCAATTTCCTAATCTGTAAAATAATAATGATATTTATCATACCCTGCTGTAAGAATTAAATGAGGTCATCAATAATTTAAAAAAAAAAGGAGAATCCTAAGTCCCATTTACATGTATAGAATCAGAATCTCTGAGAGAGGACCAGGAACTTGCATTTTGAACAATCTTTCCCAGTAATTCTTATACATATTCCCTCTAAGAATTCCTCTACAAGCCTTCCCTTAATAGCTATTTGCCATCACCTCTTTCCCCTGCTTTAAATATTGCACCCACTCAGGCCCACACACCATCATTTCACTGATGGTTCAGGGGCTACAAGGGAGAGGGTGACCTTCCAGGTTTTAGTTAAACTGGATTGGAGCTGGCCTTTAAGATGACCCCAATCCCCTGTGATTTGGTGTTTGCCAAGCAAATGTTCTAAGCTTAATTTGAAATCTCAGGGAAATTTCCACTGACAAATGCCTTGTCCTTTAATGGTTGTTCTGTAGCAAACATTCTATAATTAAAAAAAAATCTATCTCCATAAATGAGGTTAACATTATTCTTGGTGAAGCTGACCTGTTTGTCCTCAAGTGGACAGTGCTGAGTGGACAGGCAGGTCCAGGGTTGGAGTGGCTGCAGGATGTGCCCTGACTGTCCATCATACACGACCAGGACTAAAAGATTCTGCACCATCCACAAAGACACAAAGGTTAAAATAAAATTCAGGCACTTTTTCCCCTTTTTGGAGGAGTTACAAGAAATAGACATACCTATGCCTACATACATATGCAATCTTTATTTTAAACAATCGGATGGAAAGAAATGTCTTACTGCCAACATGTCAGGGGCTCTCTGCCGAAGAATAAAGTGATGCAGGTGCTGTGGTGAAGATGCAGAGATAGGAAGGGGGGAGAGGGTGAGCATGGGGAGTGGAGGAGCAGGAGAAGCGTCATAAAAGCTAAAACTGGAAAGGTCAGCAGGTGTTTGCTAGATAGAGGGGCAGGGATGGAGACATTCTAGGTCGGAGGAGAAGGAGGGACAAAGAACAGAGGCACGTAGTGGGAAGGGCATGGCTCAGTGGTAGAGCGCATGTTAAACATGCATGAAGTCCTGAGTTCAATCCTCAGTACTTCCTCTAAAAATAAATGAATAAATAAATAAATAAACCTTAAAACCTCCCCCCAAAATAAATAAATAAAAATAAATTGTACAAAAAATTTTTTTAATTAAAAGAAAAAGAAAAAAGTATGGCGGCACGAAGCCATTCAGTGGGTTTGGTGAAAGACAAACCAGTGCTTCTTACTCACTCTGCCTGCAGGGATCACCACGGTGCTGACCATGTCCACCATCATCACCGGCGTGAACGCCTCCATGCCCCGCGTCTCCTACATCAAGGCGGTGGACATCTACCTCTGGGTCAGCTTCGTGTTCGTGTTCCTCTCGGTGCTGGAGTACGCAGCCGTCAACTACCTGACCACCGTGCAGGAGCGGAAGGAGCGGAAACCGCAGGAGAAGGTGACTCTACCTTGGGCTGGACCTTGGGCGGGTCAGACCTCTGTAAAATGGGAAAATAACACCCGCTCCGCCACCTACTTAACGAGTTGGCGTGGATAGCAAACAGAATTATATGTTAAAACAGTGTGAAATTTACTCTGGGCTACTTCTTTCATTCATTCATTTATTCAAACATTTATTTAGCACTTACCATATATCAGGAGCTGCTAAGCCAAGTTAACTAAGGCATGGTCCCTTTAACCTTGGTGGTGTTGGTAGTTGAGTGATAATAATAAATGGCAAGTCAACGTGGTGGAACAAATTATCTATGAACATAGAGGCATCATAAAAGAAGCTTCAGGCATTTGTCTTTCCAAGACATTCTTTGTAATAGTTGCATAATAATTCACAGCTTGGATGTTACATGATTTATTCCCCTATTGTTTCCATTTTTTGCCGCTATAATAAATGCTGCAATAAACATTCTTATGTATATATAAAACATTCATACACACACACACACTTCCCGGAATGCACATCTTTTCATTCTGGAAAATTTTCTTTCACATGTGACCTCATACATATCCATCACTTCCCAGATCATCTTCCCTCCCACCTGGTTTCCCTTTCATTCTCCCGTCTGCAGTTCGATGGTTATCTCCCCCAGAAAACTCTAGCTATGTAGGACTTAACTGTCCCCGCATTGCCACACCTTTCACATTCCCACCCCATCTCTCTTTCTCTCTCTCACACACATAAAAACACACACACGTCATAACTGTAAACATTTTTTATCAGGGCTCATATCAGATTATGATTTCACAGAGAACGTGGGGATTATCTGATCATGAACCTTCTTGTGGGTCTCTGATATGCTGTGATGTTTCCTAATAGTTGATGTATAGACAGAAATGGGTACCTGCTGTTTTAGAATGTCTACAGTGCCACCACCATTGTTTCCCCAGCTCCATAAAAGAGACTAGAAAAAGACGATGCCCTCCACTAGGCAGCTTCTTGGGAGGGCTTCTGGGAGATGACGCTGAGCTCGCATCCAACTGTGCGTTTGCTGTGTCCGCAGCTCCCCTGCACCTGCGGGCTACCCCAGGCGCGCGCTGTCCTGCTGGATGGCAGCTACAGCGACGTGGAGGTGAATGACCTGGGCAGCTACACACCTGAGAACGGAGACAAACCTGACAGGATGATGGTGCAGCTGACGCTGGCCTCGGAGAGGAGCTCTCCCCAGAGGAAAAGCCAGAGGAGCAGCTATGTGAGCATGAGGATTGACACCCACGCCATTGATAAATACTCCAGAATCATCTTCCCAGCTGCATACATTTTATTCAATTTAATATACTGGTCCATTTTCTCATAAATGCCTTTAATTCTATGAAATTCACATTCTTCTGTACTATAGAAATACCTGAATGATGAAAATTAATTTGAGTTCCCAGTATCCACCTTTCTCCAGCTTTCCAAAACTACACTGACAAGACAAGACACTTACTGGTTTAATTTGCACTTATTTGACCATCTTTTGTCTACACAGCATTATACGTGGTGCTGCAGGTATAGACACAAGTAGCAGCTGACAGTTGTTACTGAGATCCCCTAGAGAGCATACTGCCCATGGTGTGGGCACGCTGTAGTTAGACCTCTTTTAGCTCCTAGATGCTTATTCACATGAACCACATGCTTTGCGTGAGTATCATTGTTGTCTCTGGACCAGGTGGAACTGGAAAGCACCTAAAGTTCATTTACATGAAACATACATGCACCAAAATCCTTGCTTAGACCAAAATTCATGCTTCAGCTTTTAGCCTCTTAACCTATTTTGTATGCATCTCCTCATGTTGATTTCAATACAAGGCAACAATAATATTCCTACTTTTATTTACATCTTGTGCTTTCTGAGGTTTCACCTTTTCACTAGAAAAGCTCTTTAGATTGGTGCAATGGCTTCTGATTTGGGTCGGAGTTTCCCTGGTAGGGAAACTTTGAAGAAGAGGGTATACACGTGCATTTTGTCAGTTTTGCCATATGGTAACCAGCCTAGAAAACCTGTGTGTAAATGTTCCCTGTTTCATAATCACTGCTTCATAGATCACCTTGGAGCAAGTTCTACTTCAAAGTGAGGTCTTTTCTCAGTGATGTGATATCTTCACTGAGGAACTTGGGAATAGATTGATTTTTTTCTGCACAAACATTTCAAGAAAATGCATAATTTGGGACTACCTGTAACTTGTTAGGCTGACAAATACTCGCATGGCTTCTAAATAAAAAACAAAAGTATACCAAAAAGAAAAAGAAATGGGAACAATCTCTGTACATCTCCATTATACTCAGTGAATACCAGCATTTCTATGAACCAGAAAACCTGGTATCAGGACATGAGTTAACACAGAGGGGTCTAATTTGATGTATTATTAAAAAAAAGAAAAGGTATTCATACTACATATCTACAGGATCAGTTCCTACTAAACTTATCCAAACAGCATTTGTTTGAAACTCACTTAACTAGAGTGACTTCTGTACATAATAATGTCATTTTTATTCTAAAGTTAATTTGATCACCGATAAATAATATCATGATATTTCTTCACATTAGGGCGATATTTTATTCTAATCTGAAAAAATTCCCCAAATTTGCAGAAATCCTAACATCAAGGCAATCTCCATTTTCCCCAATAAAAGCTCACCACTTCCCTCAAAAAAAAAAAAAAGGTTTTTTGGGTAAACTTTAAAGGACTATAGATGAAATAGCTGAATATCAAGTTTAAAAAATATTTTAAAAACATTACCTTTTTCATGCTTATTTTAGGAAACAATCTCAAACTCTTCACAAACATTTCTACCACTTGCTTCCTCCTCATGACCAGGGCCAGAACACGTAATCTGAACTTTCGTCTACCTTGTTAGGGAATGTCCATCATTTGAACCAGCATAGAGGATGCTGCATCAGTCTGCTCAGGCTGCCAGAGCAAAGTACCAGAGACTGGCTTAAACAACAGAAATTTATTTTCTCTCAGTTCTGGAAGCTGGAAGTCTGAGGTCATGGTGTCGGCAGGTTTGGTTTTTCCTGGGCCTCTCTCCTTGGCTGGCTGATGGCCACCTTCTTGCTGTGTCTTCACGTGGTCTTTTCTTCTCTTGAGTACATACATCCCTGGTGTCTCTTCCCTTTCTTATAGGGACACTAGTCATATTGGATTAGATTCCCTCCCTTATGACCTCATTTAACCTTAACTACAACTTTAAAGGCCCTATCTCCAAACCAGATACACTGGGGGTTGGGGAGTGAGGGCTTCAACATACGAATTTTGGGAGGACACGACTCGGTCTATAACAGATGCCCATGGGAATTATTCAGTTGCATAATAGCACGTCTAATGCATGTTATAGGTATTTGCTCCTGGTCATTACAACATAATCACATACAGTATTTTTAAAGTGATCTTTAAAAGGCTTGTTTACAGTGATATTCACACTAGTGACTAAGAAAAGTAAGTGATTAAATTCATGTTAAATTTCCTTGCTACCTATTCTAGCAACTCTCTCAGGTGACCTCTACAAACACTGAAAACCAGCATTGGTTGAAGGACTTTCCGTGGTAATGTTTTCCCAAGACAGTGCTTTGCTGCCAAACTATGTAACTGAGAGAGAACTCTGTAATTTGACTTTGTAAACACCCAAATACAAAGGAACTCTCTCTTCTGATAGATAATTTTGGAGAAAATCTCCCCATATATGTGGGCATCTGTAGTGTTTAGTAAACTTTTGCTGGCATGACTGGAGAGTAGGAAGATTTGATTAAAAAATGTCTGGTTAATAGGCAGGTACCATTCAGCCATATTGAGTCATTAACTTTTAAAGAGTTAAAATACTGTAAAATACACTTGACTAAAACTATATCAAACAATTTATTCTCTGCTTGATAGTTCAGAAGGGACTCCAGAATTTTGAGGGTTTCTTACCATTTTGTGATACAATGTGGACATCATAAAGATGTGCAGAATGTTAGCCAGGAGAGCACTGGGGGTAGTCAGACCAGCTTTTATTTAATGGCAATATTCTTGTCCTATGTTATATATTTATAACCAATATTCTTCAGTTTTTTCGTAATTCGTAATTTTATAGAGAAGAGGACTGCTGCTAGATTTTAGAGAGAATAAAAAATGGAAACAATCTAAGTGTCTATCAATGAATGAATGGATAACGATGATGTGGTGTATATATTCATCAGGTATATATACACAATGAATACTACTCAGCCATAAAATTTAATGAAATCTTGTCATTTGTAACAACATGAACAGATCTATAGGGTATTATGCTAAGTGAAATAAGTCAGACAAGGAATGACAAATACCGTAAGATCTCACTTGTATGTGGAATCTTAAGAAAAAACAAACAAACAGGCAAAATGAAACAAAAACAAATGTATAGACACAGAGATCAGATCAGTGGTTACCAGAGGGGAAGGGGTTGGGGGTGGGTGAAATAGGTGAAGGGGGTCGACTGTTTGGTGATGGGTGGTAACTAGACTTGTGGATGACCACTCTAATGTATACAGATGTCGAATTATAATGCTATACATCTGAAACTTATAATTAAAAAAAGAAGACAAAAAGCTTGTTAATAACAATGAAACCTCACATTTATAAATCCCAGTTTTAAAAAAAGTACTTTCACATTCACTGTCCCATTTGAACCCGAACGAGGAAAAACTTTAAGCAGAGAAACTTTAAGCACTGGCATGTAGATAATGTGGTTAATAAGTGAAAGGCTCCTAACCCAGCCGTCATTCACTTTATTACAGATAATGGATAAATACTGAACAAGCAAACTGTCACGCACAATACATAAATATTAGTACGAGGAAATTTTCTTTTACCTGTCAATGGCCCCTTTTAATTTATTCATTCATTCAGCAAGTAATACCAAGCATCTACCATGTAGCATGCAATGTTCAAGACCAGTGCTTCTCAAACAATCTCTGGAGAAGGACCACTTTAATTATTTTAAATTT